AGGTAATATGGGACTATTCTGTTAGACTAGAGTTAAAATCTATCATTGCAAATCTCAGTGTATTATTCATTGGTTACATGTTGTCATTGGCATTCTAACCTATCTGTTAAATTAGACTTTGAATTTGCAAACAATATATGCACCAATATTTGAAGTAAATCTGCGCTTGAGAGAGTGTACTGAGAGTAATTCATCAGAAGACCCCAAAGAGAGCTTTCATGAATGTGCCGACCAATACTCTGAAAAGTACGTGCTGTGCGAAGATGCCAAAGAGTCGGAGAATGCAGACTACTACTATGACAGCTGTAACTTCTCTGAAGAACTCCAGAAAACCAAGGAAACAAACAAGCCCTTGTACAGCCTCGAGTATATTCTATCAGGTAGGACAAAAAACTACTGAAAATGAAATGAAATGTCTTAGCCAGTGAAACATATGTTGGAAAATGTTCATCATTTGTGTATTATCAGCTCATGAAAGATGGGTTTTATCCATTTTAGATGGTGCTAAAAGTAAGCTTGCATATTTAGATCACTCATGGCACCTGTCAGTTACAACACTGTCATTCCCCTCACCGGGATATATTTACAGCTTCTTGCTGGGAGGGGTCTCAGCCTTTCTCCATCAGCATGAGCAGTAGCAGGTGTGTGTTACAAAGGTACTCCTGGCTCCAGTTGAGATCTCCTTTGTCCCCCAAGGAACTGGCATCTATTGGTTGCATCCTACCTTTCAGTGGGCTCGCTAACTTATTTTTAGGTCATCTGGAAATCTCTGAAATACATTGATTTGTCATTTGTCTGAAATCAGTGTCAATCACCTTTTTATTTTCTTTGTTTCAATGACATCTTACAGACACAGAATTCACAACTGAGTTTGCGAATAAGTGCATATATGGCGAGTAAGTATTCAACTTTTTTCCTTTTTATAAGCCTGTGCTTTTTTGCTTTAAAACTTAACAGTTTGCCACATTCACATTATATGAGGACATTATACTCATATATACTATTTTTCCTGAAAATGGAATTGTTAATATCACAAAGCGGGGGATTCATGATACTGATCATTAATGGGAGCAGAGGCTCTGCATATTGTCAGATTTGGTATTATTTCGTGAAGTGATATTTAACTATATTCCAAATGATATGATGTCCACACAAATATTCTCTGTATATTGATTTCCTCAAATAAGAGAAGATGTGATATTTGTGTGTCTGGCTTATTTCGTTTGATAGATTCTTCAGGTTCATCTATTTTTTTGCAAATGGTAGGATTTCATTGGTTTGAAATGGCAAGTAATTATATTTTATATTGATTATATTCTTCTGGGCAATGCTTTTATTGTGTATTTTTTCTCAGACTTTCAGCTTCCCCTATCCATCTCTCTGTGGATCCTAACAGATTGGAGTTTTCTATGAAAATTCAAGATATGTTGGCCAAAATTGAAAAACGTATAAGTAAGTATCTTAAATATTTAAAGCAATGCATCGCCTTTTTTGGTAGTATTTTCTTGCATGTTAGTATCTGAAGCTTTTACTCAAGGATGTGGCAGATGTTGCACAATATTAGGAAATCAGAAATTTCTTCTAAATTCACTATTTAGGACCCAGAAGTTTACATTTGTGAACTGTATACCTAACCAAAAAATATGTGAAAGATGGGAATTAGGAAAATAGCCCTAAGCTTCAGTGTTCCCAATCATGCACTTTAGAATTGTATGACACTTTTAAATGTCAGAAAGATAAATTTGTAACTTGAACTAAGGGACTACACTATTGTGATAATGCAGGAAACAATAGCAGGAGGGGGAAATGGAGAGTGAGAAAGGGAAATGAATGGGGGTAGGATCAAGATGATGGACCAGAATAAGGATACATTTAAACAGATTGAGAATCATTAACCAGGGGGAAGAAGAGATGGCACATTCCAGCAAATAGGCTGGAAGACAGGCTTTCTGTAGAGGGACACCTGGAGACTGACAGATGCGGGAAAGCAGCAGACAACGGTGTGCTGTTGCACTGACCAGATACTCCAGTGGCAGTCGGGGCAGTGATTAGCGCTCCACTGGTGGCCAGAACTCCACCAGCAGCCAGTGGGGAGGGGAGTTCACTGGGAGCTTAGCAGATGAACCCAGGCAAAAAGCTGCCCATCCTGCTGATTTGTTTGATTTGACCAGGAGCAGAGACAGAGCAGCAAATCCCATACAGGTGGTGTGGGAACAGGGTGGAATTTATAGCCCAGAACCCTACCAGAGTTGCATTGGGCACCATTTTGTGTAGAGAAGTAAAAGCTTTGGGACAGGACTATACATGCACTAAGCTGGGAGCAAACTCATTTCTGGCCAGCATGGCATACTACAAAATAGGTCCAGGTATCCCCTAGATTTAATAACTAGCAGGTCCAGAACTCCTTGAGTCGCACATCAGGTGCCATTTTGTACAGTGTGGCAAAGGCGAACATTGGAGGGACAACAGTGAGCTACACATGCACTAAACTGGGAGCAAACTCACTTCCAGCTCAGTGTATTGCACTGATCTCACATAGAAAATAATACAGACTTTGGCTTCTGGTCAAAATAGGTCTGGGTGGCCCTCAGACCCAATGGTTAGCAGTTTCCAGCCATAGCAGCACCACCAACAACCTAGCCATTTAGGACACATGGTGTTTCCCCAATTCTGGGAACTGCTTGATCCTGAAGTGGGAGAAAGTTTGTACAGATAATGGTGTAGCCACAACATGGGATCACAGGAGGTGGAGACTGGTGAGCCAGGAACTAGGGCTGTGGAGACCATGGTAGAAGCCTAACACAAGAATCCAGATCTGAAACTCACTGGAGGGAGTGGCACACTCACCCCTTCAGTTGGATAATTCAATGTTCTGTTTCTTTGAGCTGTAGTTCACTGTCTAGATGTACCACATACCATAAACAGACTGTTTATCCATTCAAACCTGGGTTGTTTCTAGTCTTGAGCAATTATGAGTAAGATTTCTAAAAACAGGACCCAGTGCAGTAGCCTAGTAGCTAAAGTCCTATCCTTGCATGTGATGCCAGGATCCCATATGGGTCCTGGTTTTAATCCCAGAGGCCCCGCTTCCCATCTAACTCCCTGATTATGACCTGGGAAAGCAGTAAAGGAGGGCCCAAAGCCTTGGGACCCTATACCCACATGGGAGACTCAGAAGAAGCTCCTGGCTTTGGATTGGCTTGGTTCTAGCTGTTGAGGTCACTTGGGGAGTGAATCAGTGGCAGAAGATCTTTCCCTGTGTCTCTCCTTTTTCTCTGTATGTCTGCCTTTGCAATAAAAATAAGTACATCTTTAAAAAAAGATTTCTAAAAAAATTCACATACAGGTTTTTGCATGAACACATTTTGGGGTTTTTGTGTGCCAATATTTAGGTGTAGGATTGCCAGATCATAAGTAGATATATGTTTCACTTGATAAAAATGCCATATTTGGTTTCCAAAGTAAATGTATGATTTTTGCATTCCTAACAGCAAATATGAGTTCTGGTCCATCCATATTCTTATCAGTACTTGATATTAGAATGGCTTAATGAAAAAATTCTGACAATAGATGCTTTGTGATATCTCCTTGTGACAATCTGTGCTCCATTAATAATTAATGTTTTTTTACTCTTTGTCATGCTAATCTACCATCTGTGTATCTTCTTTTATCAAATTGGGAGTGTTTGTTTACTCTTAAGTTGGGTTGTGAAAGGTCTTTATATGTGCCCTGAGCTGAGTCTGTTAGCTTACATGTGACTTGAAGACATTTTCTCCCAGGTCAAGCCCTGTGTTTAAATTCTTGTTCATTTTGCTAAAAGTATAATTCTTTAGATTTTTCTTTAATAGATTGTGCTTTCGTTTTGTGTCTAAAAATTTTTTACCTAGACATCAAATGACCAACTCCTTCCCTGGGCATCGATGCAGCAAGAGCAGGCCCCACTGCCCTCCCCACTTGTGTTTATAGGAGAAAGAGGAAAAAACCGAAGCATTTGTCTCACCCAGCTGTTTGTTTTCTTTTTGCCTACGAACATCAGATGTCCAGCCAGCCTATGAACTGACAGCAGACACTGTGTTCCAACTTTGTGTTCCCTTTAATAGAAAATTCCAAATATGAATATGTGTTCACGGATATATTTTTGTTTTCCATGTAAATTAGACCTCCCTCCTTCACCATCACCCCACTACCTATCTGTGGTTCTTTCATTTGTGTAATATTCAATCCAAACCTGGCTCCAGTATTAAATTTCATGCATCATAACAATAGAGCTTAACCTAAACAAAAAAGCCTTTGTCTTCAATAATCCTAGATGTCATGGATAATTCTGAAGTGTGACTTTGAGAAATATGCAAATATTGACTTCTGAATTATGTGTTTTAGCCACAATCACTCCTCTATGCCAAGATGCCCGGCTCTCTATATTTACTGACTTGCTTCCAATTACGAGTGAAACTCATTCCCAATGTTCTTCTCCATTGCCTTCCCCATAAACTTACTTCTGCTCACTTCTGTTTCCTCCAGCTTCCAATATGAAAATGAGCTTTCTTTTCTGGCTCCCATAACATAAGTTGATCTGCCAGCCCCCAAAGCTGCACAGGGACATCTATCTAGATGTCTTTGTTCAAATTTACAAAAGACTCTCATCGGCTGTGTTTTAGGTCAGAATTCCACCCTATCTAAACTGGCTTTGCCTTTGGAATTGGATGAGGCTGTATGTCCTACAGGAATCTATTACAGCCTTTCCTAAGGCTACACGCCTTACTCTAAAATGTGTGGTGAGCAAGGGAACAACAGATTGGTCTCTTCAATTTTAAAGTCCAATAGCCGAGTGAAACTTTACACGAAATCCGATTATTAGAAAGTTACCTGTGCTTCCTAAACTGCTGTTTCTAGCATATCTAAACAGTTAATTAAGGCTCCAAACAAAATGGATCCCACATCTCACTTTCTTCACTCTGGAGATGAACATGCTGACAAGCTTTCTGCATGTCCACTTGCAGATTGTGAATCTCCTGACCATCATTGGTGATTGCATGGGCCTCGTCAATGACTACAGCTCCACGTTCATCAAGTACAACATCATGATCGGGAAAGCCAAGATCATTAGTGTGAGACTGCCATCCGTGGGAGAATTAACTCCAAAAGAGTTTAAAATTCTACTCAATAAACTCCGAAACTATCACGGGCATATGGTGGATATGGTCATTGAAAAGCGCATTGGTATTTTCAAAGTTACAACTCTGGAATATCAGTCACAGTGTTTACCCTGTGTTGACAACTCCGTACAGGTGGTTCACACCCTGTTGGAATCAGTCATCGAAAGAAAAAATGCAAATCTACTGACAGTGAGTATTTGGAAAATTCCTATTGTGTAAGAATCTGCCAGATAAGAATTGGTAACTTTAAAAAGTACTTGTAACGTATATATGATTAGTATTCTCTGACAAATTCTGATGTGCTAACATGCTCCTGTCCTTGATCAAAACTCACATCTTTGGAAAAAATGTGTTTGAAGATTTATTTATTTTTATTGGAAAGGCAGATAGAGAGGAGGAGAGACAGAGAAGAAGCTCTTCCATCTGATGATTTACTCCCTAAGCGGCTACAATGGCTGGAGCTGAGCCAGTTCAAAGCCAGGAGCCAGGAGCTTCTTCCTGGTCTCCCACACGGGTACAGGGTCCCAAGGTTTTGGGCTGTCCTTGACTGCTTTCTCAGACCACAAGCAGGAAGCTGAATGGGAAGCAGGGCTACAGGGATTAGAACCGGCACCCATATGGAATCCCGGCGTGTTCAAGGCTAGGACTTAACCACTAGGCCACGGTGCAGGGCCCCTTAAAAATTTTTGACATCCAAAATTATGTCTATATCATTCACTTCCTCCCTCCTTTCATTTTTTTCTTTTTTATTACATTTTTATTTATAGAAGATGAGCGAATTTCATGTATTTAATCTATACAGATTTTAGAGTTTAGTGGTTCTTCTCTCCTGCTTTTCTTGGTTTTTCTTATGATTTTTAGAATGGCATAGTTGCAGTCTATTTTATAATCACAAGTTTAATTCTTCATTAAATAAAGAATTCAACAAATAGTATGTTTAAGAAACTACTTTGCTTCAAGAGATAAGGGCTGTAACTAAATCTCAAAATCTCAGTTTCACTCACATATATTAAATGTTTTTATAGTCCGTATACTAGTTACTATAGATCTGGGAAGACAAGATATTTGCATTTTGGGGACTGGTCTGTTTCACTAAGCATAATAGCATGATAGTTTCCAGTTGTATCCATTTTGTTGCAAAAGACAAAAGTGTTTTTTTTTTTTTATGGCTAAGTAGTATTTCCGTAGTATATATGTACATTTTCTTTATCCAGTCATCAGGTAATGGTCATCTGGATTGACTCCAAATCTTACTATTGTGAATTGAGTAGCAATAAACATAGGGGTGCAGATAACTCACATTCTGATTTCTTATTTGAGTTCCACATATGAGGGAGACCAGACAATATTTCTGTGTTTGGTTTATTTCAGTCAACATGATGGCAGTTTGAACCATTTTGCTGCAAGTGATAGAATTCCATTGTTTTTATAGCCGAATAATCTCCTTGTCAGCGCCCATTTGAATCCCAAAAATGCAAGGCGAGGACTTTAGCTGCTAGGCTATCATGACAGGTCCCCCTGTATAAGCTTTATTTTGCATGGTGATCTATTTTTATAATAAAATATAATTAAGGGAAAACATGAAGACATATGTAAAAAGTCAATTTTTGGAGACTGAAAATTGATCTTTGAAAGTATAACTGAATGTTATATTGTGCAGTGGCTCCGTGACTGGATCCTTGCTAGCCAGCGCTGGGATCCATATGAGTGCTGGTTTGTGTCCCAGCTGCTACATTGCCAATCCAGCTCCCTGCTTGTGGCCTGGGAAAGCAGCAGAAGATGGCCCAAAGCCTTGGGACCCTGCACCTGGAAAAAGCTCCTAGCTTCAGATCAGCTCAGCTGTAGCCATTGTGGCCACTTGGAGAGTGAACCAGCAGATGGAAAATCTTTCTTTTTTTTAATCTGTGAATCTTTCTTTCCAATAAAAAAATCATTTAAAAATATATGTATTGTGATATATATGAAATTTGTCCACTTTGCATAAATTATAAAAATTTAAAAATTCTAGTACATAAATGTTCAAGACCCGACACTCATTGCTATTCAAACACCAGTTATACTCTTGCTATTTTCATTACATTTATTTCCTTAAAATAATTAGAATTTTACTTTCATGTCTTAGTAGCATTTATTTTATATGTGATACACATTCAGACACATTCTGGAACAGCAGGATTTGATCATGTTGATGTCCTAGTAATTAAATCATATCTGTGTGATGCCTTTTCTGAAATTACATTTATATCATTAAAATTAAATGGTCTTCTAAATGAGTAAAAAGTCATTACATGATTATAATTGACATGTTAATGATTGCAGGTCGTAGAATCATCTTTGTGACAGCTGGAATGTAATCCCATTGAAATAGAAGAATTTGTGGAACATTTTGATTTTTTGGACACAATTTCTTCAAAAATATGTCAGTTGCAAACTGAGCATGTGGCAATTTCTCAACTGTATTCTGTTGTGCAGAATATCCAGATCCATATTTCAGAACAGCTAATTGCAATGTATCAAGTCCTCCTGGCCAAGTTCAGTCAACTGAAAACTTCAGTGAAGTTACATGAAACAAACAAAGATGCTACCATGGTTAAATTCAGAGACAATTTGGAAGCATATGTCACTGGTCTACGGGTTGATGTTAGTAATTTAAAAACAAAAGTGAGTCCTTTTAGTGCATTTTTTTCCCATTAAAATTTTGTTCTTAGTGTCATGGATGCCATGCGTTTGGATCTGTGCTTTTCATGAACTCTTGGCTGATCTAAACCAAGTATTCCCACCTTGGGGTTCACAGACACAATTTTGGTGATTTGTGAGCTTGAATGGGAAATAAAATTACCTCTCTACAAGTGTTTTCATTGACTAGGATGTAGCGTTCTCTTTACCTATGAATGAATATAGTCAACAAAAACAATCATAGATGTCAACGGACTGCCCAGAAGAGCCCACGGTTTAACAAGTGTTAGGAACTAACATCGTGCTAGGACTTTGGAGCACATGGTGATGACAGTTCCAAGTTGCTAACAACACTTAGGTTACACAGCCACAGGGCTCTGTCAGTAGAACATTAAGTTATGGACAGTGCGGTTTTTTACTTTTTTTGTTTCAGATAAGAACCCCTGTTCTGTTGTGTGTTGGGACTCAAATGGCAACTGCTAAGGAGATGATTCAGACCCTGTCTGAGGAGGCTGCAAGCTTAGCTCACAGAGTGAGATCATGTTCCGGCTATCAGGACCGCTTCGACGACTGCCACTTCTCAATGCATTCTCTCACGATGGAGGAAATTACACAGATTGTGTTCACAGGAATCTCTGACATCCAGAGTGACTTAAGTCTGAGGAAGTTGCTATGGGAAACACGAGAGGAATGGGGTACCCTCTTTCGGGGATGGAAGAATTGTTTTCTTCATGCTATTGATGTAGAATCAATACAGAAAAATGTCTTCAAGTGCATGCACACAATCCTTTCACTGGAAAAAGGTGAGTGTGTTTGTTAAATTTTCTGCCCCAGGACTGCTCATAGAGGCCCATGGCTGGCCATGCTACATTCACCTGCAGGCAGAGGCAGACAGATATAGCTAGAAACTGTACAGACAGAAACTATTTGGTGAACCAAGAAAAAGATCAAAATTTTACCAAAGAATCTTAAAAAAAAAAAAAAGACTATTTTAAAATCTTTTGTTAAAAGCTGAGTAGAATTACAGTCCACTAACCTTGATGCTGCGTCCCAAGGCCTTGCTTACGTATTCTGATAATAATCATCCACCATTGCCTACCCAGATCCTGGCTGTGTCTACTTAAGGTGATCTTTCAGGAGTGGGAGAAAGCCAAAAAGGCATTTGGAGAGATCTTTCCACATTGCTAATCATCCAGTTTGAAATCTTGGTGCTGCGTAAGTGCAGCCATGGTGAGAGTGTAAGGGCACAGGCTGGCCAAGAGGACATCCTGGGCTCCCACAGGTTAATTGTCTTCTCCAGAAAAAAAAAAAAAAATTTGTGTGTTTCTTCTAAATTATACAGTAGTGTCACACAAAGTTTAGAGAAGCTTCAGGCCATCAGAATCTTCTGTTTCAGCCTGACCCTGCATCCACACCTTCCAGCTTGTCCTGCCCTGGCTTCCCAGGACAAGTTTCAAAATAACAAGTAGACAATATTTTCCCTTATTTGTAGTTTCCTGGATGAAATTTTGCTCTTTGTCAAAGACTCAAATGGCAAAAGCCCCGTTACTCTTGTGACATCTGATTCTAAAAGGTCTTCATAAATACGTTGCTAATCAGTAGAGCTTTATAAAGGAAGTCTTATCATTACAACTTATGCGTGTATGGGTTTTAATTCTCATGAGTCCCCAGTTTTGTCTATGTATTTCCACCCTTTTTCTAAATTGAGCAAAAAGTAAGTTATAAGGATAAACATTCAAAATTTTTAAGCTTCATCATTCCGTGGTTTGTTGTGAGCTTATAAGTTACAAAGCTTGTAAATTTTGAGCTTCCTCATTCCATGGTTTGCCAGTGCCAGAGAACAGGTCATCTACATTTCCTATATTTCAGTGTTACAAATATTTTCTTTTTAAAAATGGTAGTAGTAGATGTGATTTTTTTTAAGATTTAGTTATTTATTGGCAAGTCAGATATACAGAGAGGATGAGAGACAGAGAGGAAGATCTTCCATCCGATGATTCACTCCCCAAGTGAGCACAACAGCCAGTGCTATGCCAATTTGAAGCCAGGAGACAGGAACTTCTTCCTGGTCTCCCAAATGGGTGCAGGGTCCCAAAGCGTTGGGTCATCCTCGACTGCTTTTCTCAGGCCACAAGCAGGGAGCTGGATGGGAAGTGGAGCGGCCGGGATTAGAACCGGCGTCCATATGGGATCCCTGCATGTTCAAGGTGAGGACTTTAGCCACAGACCATGCCACCAGGCCTGATGCGATCTTTTTTTATGCTTAATGTTCTCAGTTAACCAAATTTAAAAGTTCAAAATATAAAACATTTGTGTGTGTATGTATGCATATACGTATCCAGCTCTATATTTATCTAGTCTGTGAAAATTGGGGAAGTACTGCAGTTACTGGGCTTTAATCATCTGGGATTTTAGTCACCTGTCCTGATAATTATCTTTTTATTTTAATCTATCATTGATTCTTATAAAATGGTAAGGTTAATAAAGCTTATTGTCTTTTATTACAATTCAAATTCCAAAGAACTGATTTAAGGTTGTTAAAGTTCTAAAAAAATTATACATTATCAATTTTCTGCTAAAATACAATGAAAATATTATAGACCTGCTGCCTTTTTGTAATTTATACGTTTGCCTGCCGATGATGTGCTCACAAATCTTAAGCAATCAGTGACAGAGTTTAAGCACAAGTTGCCTGTCATCGTAGCCCTGGGAAACCCTCATCTCAAGCCCAGGCATTGGGAGGCTCTCCAGGAAATCACTGGGAAGTCCGTTACCCTTTCCAAAAGCCATACAATCGAGGACCTTCTAAACCACCAGGTAAATGAAAATAGCTTGAATACCAGAAGGGCCCATTGTAAGTAGGTAAGTGATTGTACAAAAGTCAGAAATTAGTAAAATCAGCTATCAGAATAGGAGAATAAGTCTGTCAGACAATAGGTGGGAGGAAATTAAATTTCAGTGGAGAGGCTGAGTGCGTGACTCTTCATACCATTATAATCTTTGTGATTAGAAATGAGTGATACTAATTTTCATGCACGACAAATGAAATTAATATTGTATTATTTGGCCATGCTACTACTAACAGAATATGTCTTAAAGGAATAGGAAAATCAAAATTACTGTAGTTCTGATTTGTATAAAATTAATATATTATTAAAAACATGTTAGGATAGTTTTACCAATAGTTTACTGTTACATTTTAAAAACTTTAATAAGCTTTGCCATATAAGTTTTAATATAAAAACACATTTTCCAGTATTCTCAAGACTCAAATGTTTCCTTGCCATGCACATTTACAATAAGCTTCATCTAGATTTAATGTTTCATGATTAATGATATGTAACAATAACCAGCATTTAAAATCTTTAAGTCTAGCAAATGATCTGTTGTGATGAGGAATGTGGGATTTAAAAAAAATCTTCAAAAAGCTAATTTATTTTTAAAAATTAATTATTTTGATTTTCAGTCCTAATCTCAACTTCATTTCTGAACTTCAGACTTACATATCCCACTTCCTATTCAGGGTCACCACTTGCATCTCTAAGAGATATTTCACAGTTAGCATGACAAATGTGTTCACTTTTCATTCTCCTTTTACCAAAATCTACAGTGAATCTTCCCCATATCAGTTGGTGGTAGTACCTTCATTAAACAATTAAACTAAAACTAGTTACACTAAAAATCATGGAAGAATCATTGAATTTTTTCTTGCTCTCTCCCACTCATCCCATTTAAATATTCTTTTCCTGAGATATTATTAGAGCTTATTATTATCCTTACTGGTCTGTGTGACAATGAGGGATTCAACATGATACCTAGATAACTTTAGGATGTAAGGGCCGTTGCCAACAGCTAAGTTGATTCAAACCAGCATGCTAAAAATCTACCACTTGTCAATAATACAATGATTTTTCATTTTTTAAGGACTTAATTATTTTATTGGAAAGGCAGATCAGATTTACAGAGAGAAAGACACAAAGATCTTCCATTCACTGGTTCACTCCCCCAAATGACCACAATAGTGAGAGCTGAGCTGATCCAAAGCCAGGAGCCAGGAGCTTCATCCAGATCTCCTGCGTGGGTGCAAGTACCCAAGGCTTTGGGCCATTGAATGCTGCTTTCCCAGGCTATGAGCAGGCAGCAGGATAGTGTTGTGGAGCAGCCACAACACTAACCAGCACCCATACTGGGTGAGGATTTAGCCACTGAATCATCACACCGAGCCCAATACAGTGATTTTTCAGTCTTGGGTAGAGAGTAAGTATAATAGCAAGCAACAAAAGTTAGAGCAGGTAGAAACAGGGGAGTAGCTAATTCCTAGGTACAGCAATTTCAGAAGCTAAAAATGAGACTGGAGCTGCTCACTTTTGTTCATATGTAAACTACTCTAATTTGAACTCTGCCAAAACTGTGGGAATAGGCGTCTTCCGCTTAGAAACAAGCTGAGCAATTGTACTGGGCCCCCAACTCTCATTCTTTCACTCCGTGGAAATGATCAAGGGAGTGGTGATGGATTCTTGTTTCTAACCAGGGATTCAAAGTCATCAGCTTAGGTAGTGAATGTGAAGCTGTAGAGATGGAAAGCTCTGTGTTTACCTCTGTTGTGGTGAGTGTGACATTCTTTGAATTTATCCAGGGGGAACTGGAAGTTGATACACATGGCAAGAAGTCCCATTTACAGAGTGCCAATGTATTTTGAGAGACAGGTCGTCAAGGACATGTGGTAAAGGAAGGGAAATCATGAACTGAGGTTCGTTAGAGCTTCATTCTCTTAGCTGAATATAGCCCAAGATTGGAGAGTAAAATTCCACACAATTAATTCAGCAGTTGGCAGAATAAAGGAGCCAAACTAAAGAAAATACCATTGCTGTTAGTGCAAAGGAGAGAAAGCTGATGTAAACATCAGCTGCATATGGGCAGAGGATGCATATTCTTCATTATGACTAAAGTAAGAAGAAAATTCAGAAATTTCACAGAGCATGAAAACTTTAGGTAGGTGGTTTAAAAGCTGAAAAGGCCTATGACCTGAGGGTTAGATCATGGTGTTTCTGGTTAGTATGGAAACCCAATGTGAAACTGGATCACCGTTATTCATGATGATCCTTTCAAAGTGTACCTTCATGGTTTGCATTTTAAATGTACCAGGAATTGTTTGCCCAACTCAGTTTTAATAGTCTGTTCATTTTAGGTATTTTATTATGAGCATGAGATCAAAGAAGTGTCCGCCTCAACAACTAATGAAGCTGCTCTTGAAAAGCTGTTGTCAAAGATTGTTCATCTTTGGAATACCACGCCCTTACATTTAGTCCTTCATCGCACAGAGAACTATTCTGTCTTAATGATTTCATCCTTGGATGACATATTCGCTCAGTTAGAAGATTCTCAAGTCATACTGGCAACAATTAAAGCCTCTCCCTACATTGGGCCCATTAAGGTCAGCATTACAGTAAAAAGAAAATGCTTTAATTTTCTCAACTTCTGTTCACTTTGATTTTTTCCATTCTGTGATTTTTTATTTGACTTTGGATTATGTAAAGCATTTATATATTTAGGAATGAGATTAACAGCTTGAGTACAGAAACTAACTTTGAAAACAATGAGGATTGAGCACTGTCAGAAATTTTAATCAGACTGGACAAAATAAATGTAGACCTTAAAAACATATGATCCTACAAACTCTGAATTTTGCCAGCAATGTTCAGTGTTTTCTTATTATTTCCCATCAGGCAGCCCACTATCCAATGAAATGCCCAAAAATCATTTTAAAGCTTCCAGGAAGGAACAAAAATAGGCACAATGATATAGTCAATGGCAGCATTAATGTAATTGATCACACACATACACCTGCTTTTAAAAAATACAACATCCAGTGGAAAGCAGCAGCAGTGTAGAACAAGAAGAGAGCATCCCTAGCCAGATAAAGGACACCTGTGAGGACCAAAAGATGCATTTAATATGCTGCTTACTGGTGGAATATTGCATCCTCCTTCCCTACCACATCCTGTCACCATTGCAAGAAAAATCCTAGTCCATCTCTTAAGCAATAGGAACCTATAAAATGTTCCTTATATTCACATGAATTTAATACTAAGCACCTATTTAAAACCAATGAATTCAATTTTGAGAAAAAGTAAATGAATTTTAGGAAGTTTTTGGGGCAGGTGATTATCCTAGAAGAATCAACTTCAATCTAGCTATCGGTACTGAACAATTAGATATTGAAATTTTTTAATAATTACAATAATATTAAATGTGATATTTTTAGGTAAATCTGACAAAACATGGGTGTGTAGTGTCTGTGCAAGGAAAACTAAAAACCCCTCAGAAATTAGGACTCGCGTGAAAGATTGATGTGTCGTGTTCATGCATGAGAAGTAAGACAGGAGTAGAGGAAGGGTTTGTACAGGGAACCTTTCCATGTAATGGATTTTTATTGTCTTCATTGTGCTAATCATTCCACAGGTATAAGCAGACGCTAAAATCTATGCAGCTATAAATGGTGCAGTTTGCCACCTATCAGTCATACTTGGATAAAACTTTCAAAAATCAAGACATACAGAAGTAAATATCAGAAAACGAATACAAATGAGTTACAAGTGGTTTTATTTTTGAGTAGCCAGATAAAAGGATGGCCCAATTCATTATCTTCAAATAAGCATTTCAGCATTAATGTATTTGCCATGATTTTTCTACTATTTTAATATAATATTTGGAAACGATTTGTTATATCCACATGACAGAAATTTCTGAAATCATTTTAAAATGATATCTCTTAAAAAGTGAATTACAGAATAATACAATTGCTTTTATGCTGAAGGGGAAAGTGCTGAAAAAACGTACGGACTCCCTAATGGTGTTTCCTCTGTGATAGGAATTATGAAACAAATGTTGAATGGGAAGTATTTATGCTTAATTCTGTATGTCTATATGTGTTACTCAAACCTTTTTGAGAAGATGTATACATAATAAGAGAATTGGGTAAACAAACATCTCAAACTTCAAAAATGAAATACAGTGACTGATAATCACTGTTCATCTTAGTTTCTATTTTATGACTTTGCAATTTTGTATATTTGCCAGATATTTGTTTCTGTCCTTGCAGGATCTTGTGCATGAATGGACTAATAACCTGACTGTGTTCTCTTATGCCCTTGAGGAATGGATGACTTGTCAACGAAACTGGCTTCATGTTGAGCCAGTCTTTAACTGTCTAGAAATACAAAGGTAAAAAAAAAAAAAAAAACTTAAAATACCCCACTTAAGATTTGGAAAAAGAAAAAAAAGTGGTTGGTTACCTTCTGTAATCCTTAAGAAATGAACAGTATAGACATTTGAGTATAATGTGCTCAGTAAAAACTTTTTTCTTTCACAGGAAGTTTAAAAGTATTAACATTTAGGAAAAAAGCCTTATTTCTCCAATTCTAAAAATTTGTATCTATTGGATATAAGGAGTGTGTGCACAAACACCCCATCCACTACTGCACTCTTCAGATGCACAGACAGAGCAAAGCAGGAGCATGAACTGGCTCAGGATCCCCACATGGATCAAGGAACTCCACTTGCTACTGTCTTCTTCCCTTTTTTATTATTATTATTTTTTATTATTCTATAGGCCTGCATTAGCAGGAAGCTGACGTTAGGAGGTGGAGGTAGATATTGAAATCAGACATTCTGATATGGCACATGGGCATCTTAACAGGTGTCTTACCCACAAAGACCAAGTGTCCACCCCTTCACAATTATTAACATGAATATGTATAAAGGACCGTGGGGCAAAGTGTCAGATGTGTTGTTATCTTCCTTAAATGATACTTTGATGGGTCTGTTTACTTCTGGAATATCAGTGTTGTTTTAATATATGTAAAAAGCACTTTTTAGTAGCCTTCATACTTTAATAAGATTTTTTTTATTTGGACCACGTAAAGGAATAGAAGACCTGGGAAACTATCTTAAAAATTCTATATTTGCTTTTATTCATAGTATTAAAATCAATTAGCTTTTAACTCTTAAGGGTAATCACTTAATAGTCTTAATAGTGCCTTGGTTGAGATGAATGGTTACCCAAGAAACTATCTAGGAATCATTAATGATTCAGAGTAAATCATACAAGCTAGTGTAGGAGCCATTCTGAAATAAAATGGGAGGTCATGAAGTATGTGAGTGAAAGGTTTGCACGGTAAGAAAGACCACTCATATCAAGATAAGTATACTAAGCATAAGTTGGGGGGAAAAGAATAGCTATCAAAAGCTTGAAAAAGAACTGCTTTTCTGGGAATAATGTCCATATTTTATACGTATTATTATGTATCCTACAAAAGCTTGGTATTCTCCTGTTAACCTGCAGATGGTTGTAAAAAAAAAAAAAAACACTCACACACACATAGTTAAGCATATCCATAATGGTTGCAACAGCTTTGAGGCTCAACTTTAAGTTTCATTATTGCATTTTAGTAAAAATTTCTTAATAGAAGAGCCAAACACATAAGTATCAAAATACCACTGCTCGTTGCTCTTTTACAGGATTTACTGAGATTGAAAAGATGCTTTTAAACAAGGGATGCCGAAAGCACTTATAAATATGTCTAAAGGAAAGAAAAAAATGGACTATAATAGGCCATAGTTTGATGCAGAGGGACAATGAGCCCTGATCCCAATGGGAAGCATCGGGGCAGGGAGGGTGGGGGAAGCAGTAAAGAACAAAAGATCCATCTTAAGGGAGAATGTTGTGAAGGGAATGGGTGAGACTCAAGCCTCACCGTAACACCAGAGGAGTTGGGAGAGTGCTTAGCAGAAGGGAACATCCAAGTTCCTCTCCTAATCGGACTTTTTTTTTTTTATTAATGGCATTGCATTATGGGCACTGGGATTTCCCCCCACACCTCACCGAACCCTCTCCCCATGGTGGATTTCTCCACCTTGCTGCGTTACCGCAGTTCAAATTCAGTTGAGGTTCTTTCATTGAAAGTATTTACCAAGCATAAAGTCCAGTGTCTTATTATCCTAGTGGGTTCAACGATTTCTTGGTGAGACCATCTCTGGTCTGAAAGTAAAGCCAGCAGATTATCATCCCAATCAAGTAAAAGCCGGAACATAAAATCAACAGCCATTTACAACCTTATGGCATTAATTGACATGGTATTTCCTAATCGGACTTTGATCGAGCTGCAGACATGTCTAGGGCAATCACCCAAGGTGTGGAAGGTGATGATGGTGGAAGTATTCTCAGGAGAAATTGACATTTAGAGTCTAAGAGGGGGCTTCCCTCCTCTGGAGAATTCTGTGGAGAAAGAATGCTTGAGTATGCTAGACCAGTGTTGGCCAGGTATGATTTTACATATTTGGGGACATTTTGCAAAGTCTATCAACATTTTTTAGCTGCCATCTAGTGCATGAAGGTCAAATCAAATGTCACACACCTAAAGACTTCCCCCTCACGGCCTCCTCGCTCAACTTCAAGGCATGAAGCATTTGAAGGAAATGACTAGGGTGGGATGGCTGTGGGATACCCAGCTGAGCAGAGAGGAAGGAGCTGGCCCACCAACTTTTGAAGATACTTCAACAGCAGAACAAACATTATCAGCAGATTAGCAATGTGCATGTGGAGAGGCAGCCACATGCTGCTCTCAGAGGAGAGGAAACAGTGATAATATTCCGTGAAGGAAACTTTCCCTACCAGGACTGACCCCTGCCTCGCATTTCCTCATCCCCTAAGACTAGTAGAGCGTTCAGGGAACCCCTCTTATATGCTTGTTCCTGGACTGAGCATCCACTGCCTTCTCATGTCATAAACAGATTACTCTTCCAGAACCCAGATTAAGCAGTGTCCTGTTCAGGAAGCCCCTTCCATACCCCACTGCTTCTCTCGAATTCCACCCATGGTTGGTTTTATTCCATGTATTGACACACAAATCACTACTTTATGTAGAATCCATGCACATCTGTCTTCTACCACATAGTAAATATGCTCTTGTTAAATGATCTTACATTTCATAGTATGGGTATTATTCATTTAAAATGAGCACTCAGAAGTTATCTTTAATCAATGACTGATGAAGAAAAATAAAACCCACAAAGGTGCTTTCTAAATGAAACCATGAAATGTGGCAATGTATTCAGGTTGCACATTTAAATCATAGGACTTTAAAAATATAAAATTTCATCTCTTTTTTTTCTAAAGGCAGCTCCCAGAAGAAACAAAAGTTTTCTCTCAGGTGATTTCCACATGGAAAGAAGTAACATCCAAACTACAAAACAGACTGAATGCTTTGCAAATAATCATCTCCAAAAGAATACCCGAAATTCTGAAAAATTGTAATAAACATCTTGAATTTATAAAGAAAAGGCTTGAGGTAAAAAAAAAAATGAGGAACAAAAATCATACCAATCCTAAAGTAGTGAATGGTTTTATTTTGCAGAAGGAGTGTAATATACAGTAGAAACTAACCTCAAATTCTCTTCTTCCATAGCATAGAGTGAAAATATTCACAAAAGCAATGGAAGATGGACTGATGAAGTGATCTTAGGCAAAAATACTAAACTTTGAAGAGCCAGAATTCCATTATCTCCTTTTAAGTATATTTGTTTATCTTGTATTTATTTGCAAGAGAAGGAAACCAACTGCTTCCACATGTCAGTTTAGTCCCCAAATGCTTGCACTGCCAGGGCTGGGCATAGCTTTACCGTCTCTGTCACCTGGGTGGCTGGTACCCAAGTATGTGAGGTATCATCTTTACCTCCCCAGAGTGTGCAGAAGCAGGAAGCTGGATCGAAGCAAAGGCAGGACACAGTCCAAAACTCTCTTTTGGGATGGAGGTGGGGTGTAATAAATATCCTAAGCAAATGCCCCAAGTTCTATTAAGGTTGAGAAAAGGCAGAGGTACCTTGAGGGGCTTTGTTCTAAATGGGAGAGCATAAAGCACAAGAATTGGCACAAAAAGTACTTCATGAAGGTTAATTGTTTTATTAGTACTAGTACTGTGGCTTTTTTAAGATTTATTTTTATTGAAAAGTCAGATTTACAGAGAGAAGAAAAGACAGAAAGATTTTTCATCCACTGGTTCACTTCCCAAATGGCTGCAAAGGCCAAAATTGAGCTGATCTGAAGCCAGGAGCCAGAAGCATCCTCTAGTTTCCCACACAGGTGCAGGGTCCCAAGGCTTTGGACCATTCCCTACTGCTTTCCCAGGCCACACACAAGCAGAAAGCAGGTTGGGAAGTGGAGCAGCCAAGACAGGAGCCTGTGCCTGTAAGAAATGGAGGTATTTGAATGTAGAGGATTAGCCTATGGAGCCATTGCACCAGCCCCAAACCACTCCTATTAAGTTGATAAATGCAGCAAAAGTTCAAATAGAATATGTTGATGGGCTTATAAATTTCTGATTGTTAAAACATTGAATTGTCATCTTGACATACATATTGCTTAAACAACTAGGTTCTGGTGTTTGAGATTCATGATGTACACATTTACTTTGCTTCCAAAATCAAGATTTTTTTTCAGGCATCACTTTTCCTTGTTAAGCACAGGACACAGATACCAGGATGGCTCTTCTGGAGTATTTAACTGTAGTCAGGGCTTCTATATAGAAAGTTCTTCCAGACAGGCCTTCTTCTGGAACAAGCTATGATCTAGGACAGGTGGTCGTTAAGCCTTCCAGTTATATTTGACACGTGCCTGAATTATTACTGAGGATGATTCCACACCAGACATTTAATCATGGGCTGAATACTGACTTGGTCCAGGCACTGCTGCTGCTCTGTACTGGTTCTACAAAGTTAGAAGACACTTTGCCTACTATTACAGAACTGCAGTGTAAGAGATGAAAGAGCAGAGGAGCATTATAAAACGAAGTATGCCATGACAGCTTGGAGAGTGAGGCCGCAGCAAAGAGAAAGAAAAGTCCCCGTACTGAGAGAAAGGACACTTAATGTGGGTCTTAGGAGTGGGTACTGACTAGGTTAGAGTCCAAACAAAGAGGGTAGGTGAGACATGGAGCCAAGAGCACATGTGGTACCTTCTGGTTTGTGAGCAGTACAGTACAGATGAGACAGGGCACGCGTGGAACAAGAGGGTGAAGGGTCTTGAGAATCACAGTGAGTTACGATTTTCATGAGCATTCAGAGAAAACTTCGAGGCAGCAATGTAATGTAGAAATGCCTCACCACATTGTCACATGAGGAACCAAATTGCAACATGAGCTTGGAGAGGGATGAATGATTTTCAAAGCTGTAGCATGGACAGTGAGGCTGGATATTTAAAGACTAGTTCAAGAACAATAGCAAGACCACAGTGAGGATGAAAGAATGTGGAGCCTGGAGCAGCAGAGCGGCGAGTCAAGTGTAAAAGATGTCCAGGACTGTGGCTGGATTTCTGGTTTGGCCATAAAACGAAAAGCAATGATGCTGCAGAGAAAAGAGCTGGAGGAGAATTGTGTTTGCTCATGCTGAAAATCTAATGCAGATGGGACATTCAGATGAATGCCTCACTTGGCAACTGGGAGTAGTAGTTCTTCCTTGTCTTTGAGTCCTACAATTCCAGTTACCTGTGGCCATTCATGGTCCTAAAAATATCAAGTAGAAAATTGCAGAAAAAATTTAAATTGCATACTGTCCTGAGTAGCATGGTGAAATTTTCCCTATTCTACCCCAAATGTGAATCTTCTCTCCCTGCTCAGCATACTTACTCCATATACATCATTTACTGCTTATGCGTGTGGTAGGCATCCCAGTTCGCAGATGTATGGCATGTATTACAGTGTGATGTATAAATAACATAAGTGTAAGGATTTAGCGCAATGTGCAGTTTCAGCATTTTCTGGGGGAGTCTTGGAATGCATCCTCTGTAGGATAGGGGGATACACAGTGTGGCTGGGCAGAGAGAAGTGATCTGAATGGAAGAAAATGAATATGGATTAAATAACTTGAGAAGAGCATAGTAAGAAGAGTGATAGGAAAATTTGAGAAATGTCAGCATTATGGTGGATGGGACAAAGAGGGACTCTTTTTTTTTGGATTTATTTTTATTGTAAAAGCAGATTTATAAAGAAAAAGAAAGTGATACAGATCTTCCATCCACTGGTTCATTCCCCCAAGTGACCACAATGGCTGGAGTTGAGCCAATCCAAAGCAGGAGCCAGGAACTTATCCAGGTCTCCCATGTGGGTACGGGGTCCCAAGACTTTGGGTCATCCTCCATTGTTCTCCTCTGCCACAAGCAGGGAGCTGGATGGGAAGTGGAGCATCCCTAAAAGAGATCCTGGTACCTGCAAGGCAAAAATGACATGTAATGGCTGTGGGAAAATGGAAAAAAATCAGAGGTTGAAACAAAGGGCAGAGTCAAGTCCTATAGAATTTGCATGCAACAGGAAGACTGACAAGCACTCAGTAGATCGGAGCCAACAGGGGCTCTATGGCAGAATGTGACATGATAGAGAATTAAGATTTTGTGCTTACAGACTAAGAACTTTGTAGCAAAATGGGCAAACAGCTGTTGGAGGGGAACAAAGGGACAGGAAAGGCTTCTTAAACTTTGTACTTGAGAGAGTGCCAAGGGAGAATCTGAAGAGAATAGAACAGAAACCAGTAAGAACTTGTTGACCTGACCAAACTGGATGGCTGGCTGTTTCCTGGTTTGAATCTCCTACGTTGTGGGGAGAGGTGGCGGCAGTGGTGAATCTCCATGAGAGTGCCTAAGCAGGAGGATGTGAGCTCATCTGTGAAATGGGAGCTCCACAGACAGGGAAGCAGTCCAGAAAGGCGAAGTACACAAAGTAAATCGATCATACTAAAATATAGTACTTTGTTAGCTGTGAATAATTTAAGAGGATTTTTGTTGCTGCTTAGGTTTTGATTTCTTTTTTCTAAATTTGCTTTAGGAAAGGTTTTAATGTCTTAAGTATAGCTTTCATTTGGCCTTGGCGTGCTTTTCACAGATACTAACATGTTCCCTACACCATTACTGTTGTAGCTTTTGTGTAGGTAGGTACACATGCGGTTACGAACCTTACCATGAATAAGTATATTTTCTGAACTGCATTTCTCTTGGTTCTTCTGAACAGGACTACCTTGAAATGAAAAGGATGATTTTCCCCAGGTTTTACTTCCTCAGCACCAATGAGCTGCTTGCGATCCTAGCCGGCAGCAGAAACCCTGAGTCTGTACAGGTAACGGCACTCCCCTGTGTTCAGCAGTGCTATTTCCCGAGCATTCCGGGATTTACTCATGCTGTCAATCCACCTTTCCGGTTCACAGCCTCATCTAGTGAAGTGCTTTGAGAATGTGAAGCAGCTGATGATATGCAAGCAAGAGATCGGCCCCTCTACCATAAGGATGCTCATGTCTGCTGAAGGCGAAGGCCTCGTGCTGCACAAGTATGCTGAATATGCTGCTAACCAAGCGTTCAGACCCCTTAAGCCCTCATGCTTTACAACCTCTGAAATTTGGTTTTTCATGGAAGCACTCTAAGCAAACTAAGATATAATATCCTTATTCAAATATGCTGTCACCTTTCTGGATGTCTTCTCATACATATTCATTTCTTTTCAATTAGAAGCAGAGAAGATAATCTTCAAACTCACGGTGCTCATGTATGTCTAGCTTCTGCTCTGTCATTCAGATTTGTTTTGCGTTTCCTACTCTCATTACTGCATGACCTGTTTCGCTAAGCTATCATGCCGGGCCCCCCAAAATGTTTTATACTACAATCTCTCTGTCTCTTACAGATGAATTTTTTTGCATATAATCTAATTACTGTGTAATTTATGGCCTTTATGTAAGAATTCCTTAAAACCTGATTAACTGTTTTCTGTGCAGTTTTCTAAATTAAAATTTGGAATAACCAAAAGATGTTCTAGAATTATAATTGACCCGTGAATATTATTAAAATGTGCCAAAATGTAGTCTAAGTCTATCAAAGGACAGAGCATGAGTTGAAATGGCTTTCTGATTTTTTTTTAAACAAATTACAGGAAAATTCACGTAAGAAGTGCTGTAGAACAGTGGCTGGCAAATGTAGAAAAAAGCATGTTTGAGGCGTTAAAAAAGTAAGTACAAATTTTAAATCCTGAACCTATATATATTTGTTACCTGTATTTAACTCTACCTTTGTCAGGTTTTTTTTGAATCCCAGGTGTAAATGTGAGATTATTTAGCTTTTTCTTTCTACACCTGTCTGATTTTATCTAACATAATGTGCTCCAGGACCATCCGTGTCATCAGAAACAATAAGATGTCCTTATATTCAGACTTAATGTTATCCATTGCATGTAAACACACCATGGTTTGTATATATATACACACACACGTAAAAACAATATATATAAAAACTATATAGTTTTCTGACTTTTTCACCTTTTATTTTAAATTTTATGATATTCCATAGTGTCCGGGGTTTTCCTACCCCCTCCCCAAATTGCCTTCCCCCAACTGATTTTTCTCATAATTGCGATAATGTAGTTCTTCATAAGCAGTCACAAATCCATCACTCTGTTATTTAACTGTGTCCTGACATTGCTGGTACAGACAATGGTAGATAGTCCAACATCCTGTTGTGTAGATGTATCCAACAGTTTCACTGGGAGACCATCTTTGGTCTGGAAGTAGAGATGCATGCTGCATTGTATCTACATATCTGGATATGAAAGTCTCTATTGCACAGTTTCTAATCCTTCCTACCATGTTTTCTTTCTCCATCCTTCTGAGAGCACTGATGTTGCTCCCTTATCTCCCTGATGTGAATAATCCTACAGTGCACATTGGAAAGCAGATGCCTCTTTGGCACACTTACTTCTGTTCCTTTGGATATATACTCAAAAGTGGGATTCCTCTGAGAACTCTCTGTGCTGTTTTCCATGACAATTTATATTTCCTCTAACAAGCTCCAAGAATTCCTTTTTCTCTGCATTTTTGCCGTTGTTCTTTTCTGTATTGAAAGTCTCAAAGAGGGCAAGGATGAGACAGAGGGAGAAAGAAGAGGTCTTCCATCTACAAGTTCACTCCCCAGATGCCTACAGCAGTCATCTGGACCAGGCTGAAGCCGGGAGACTAGCCATCAATCCAGTTCTCCCACATGTGTAGCAGGATCCCAGTACTGAAAGCATCATCCGCCTCTTAGGGTGTTCAGTAGGAAACCAGAGCAGAAGCAGAAGAGCCAGAACTTGGACCTAGGCACCCTGCTGGAGGATGCAGGTGTCTCAGGCAGTATCTTGACACTGCCCCACTTCACTGCTTCTTGATAATAGCCATTCTGACATGTGCAAGGTGATAACATGTTGTAGTTTTATTTTACATTTCTCTGGTGGTTAGTGATGTTGACTTGTTGTTGTTGTTGTTGTTGAGCTGTTTGAGTCTCTTACGTATTTTGGGTACAATTCCTCTCAGAATGCATAGTCTGAAAGATTTTTTTTCTCACTGAAAGAATTTTCTCCTTATTTAGTTTCCTTTGCTGTGCAGTTTAGGGTTGGGGAGGGTGGTTTTGTTTTGTTTTGCTCTGACTCAATCCCATTTATTTCTTCCTGCTACTGTTACATGTACTTTCAGGGATGTATCCCTGACCAGAATCATCACATCAGTGTTGTGGAGGTTTTTCTCTGTGTTTTCTTTTAGTGACTGTATAGTATCAAGTCTTACTGTTTAAGTGTTTGATGCGTTTTGAGTTGATTTTCATGTTATATGAAGTAAGGGTCCAATTTCACTCCTCTGCATGTGAAAATGAAAGTTTTCCAGATATTTATTGAAAAAAATTTGAAAATATTTTACTTATTCGTGTGAAAGAGCAGCAGACAGATAAGGAGAGACAGAGTAACCTTTAATCTACTGGTTTACTCCCCAAATGGCCACACCAGCCAAGTCTGAACCAGGACCAAACCAGGAGCATGGAACTCCGTTCTGCTTCCCACGTGGGCAACAACGGCCTGTTATTCAGCCATCATCTCCTGCCTCCCCTGGGGCATTAACAGGAAGCTGGATCAGAAGCAAGGTCTTGAACTGGCACTCTGATACAGTAAGCCCATGATGCAAGGAGCAGCTTAACCTGCTGTCCCACAGCACTAGCCCCAAGAGACTTTTATCTATTGTATATTGTTGTCATCTTTGTTGAAAATCAGTTGACCATAGGTCTGTGATGGTATTGTACTCTGGCCAGTCTATTTTTTAATGTCAGTACCATGCTATTCTAATTACTATAATTTTGTAATGTATTTTGAAATCAATGTGATACTTAGATTACTTTGGTTAGAGCCTTTCTCAGGCTGATTTTTGTTATATGGTTAGAGTCTTTCTCAGTCTAATTTTTTGTTACTATCAACAAAATAGCTCAGGCTGTCTACTTATGGAAATGATCTTATTTACCTCATAATTCCAGAGGTGCAGGTTAAGGGGCCAAATGGCTTTGTTGCTAGCAGTCTCAGGATGTCTTAGGAAATCCCAGGGCAATGGGTAGGGAATACAAACGTGTGTCTGTGTGCCTATTCTGGTCTTTGTCTCTGTTATCATAAATCCATCACTATCCAAAAATGAAACATTCATTTTGATGACCTTACATGATCTCAATCACCTCCCAGGAGCATCAACTCTAGGCATCATACTTAAGGTCTCCATCTACTTTGTACTTCACAGTGGGAATTTCAGTTCAACAGACAAGTCTTCATGGTTTTGTATGAATGTTTAGGTAGATTTTCCTTTTCTGAGAAAAATGACCTTTTGATAAAAGATGGCATCAAATCTGTAGATTGCTTTGAGTAGATTGGACATATTAATAATATTAATTCTTTCAGTCCATTAGCACAAGAAATTGTTTCATTTATTTGTGTCTTTTCCTTCATCTATGTTTTTTTTTAGTTCTCAGCATGTAGATCTTTCACTTATTTAATGTCATTATTTAAATTTAGTGTTCTGTTTTTGATGCTATAATAAGCATATTAATTCTTCAGAATTACTGGCACATGGAAATGAATAAGATGTTTTCTTGTGTTGGTGCTCTATCCTGCCATATTACTAGATTTGTTGATCAGTTCTCATAGTTTTCTGATATAGCCATTAGGATTTCCTATATATAATATAATATCAGCAAAACAGGTCATTTTTCACCTCTTCCTTTCTAATATGGATGCATCCATTTCCTTTTCTTATCTAAGTGCTCTGAGATGGACATTTAGCGAATAGAAGTAAGAATAGTTATCCTTATCATGTTCCTCGGCTTAGAGGAAAGATTTCTGCTTCTCACCATGGAGTTTAACATTCACTGGAATACTTTCCTAAGTGAACTTTTTGTACTGAGGTACGTTCCTTGTATGCCTAAATTGTTGAGAGTATTTTACCAACAAAGTGTGCTCCAGTGTGTCTGGCAAGAACACAAGGAGATTATAGGTCAGTATCCTTGATGAACACAAATTCAAATATGTTCAACAAAATATTCGCAAACAAAAATCTATGGCACATTAAAGGGGTAGTTAACTAAAAACAAGTGGTGTGTATTTCTTAGGGCACAAGAATAAAAACATACATCAATGAATAAGTGGATTCACTGTAAACAGAAGAAAGGCAAAAGCCACATGATCCTTGCAGTCGAGGCAGACTCACAGGCTGTTCTTGGTTAAAGCCTTTTTCTGTTCTGATTGTTTGCATTTGGAAAAATCTTTGTTTTTCTCCTTTTGCACTCAAGTCTGTGTGTCCTAAAGGTGAGGTGAATCTCTTATAGGAAGTCTATTGTTTGGGCTCGTTTTTTTCACCCAGTCACTTACTTGGCTTTTAGGTGGAGCTTTCGCATCCAGAGTGGTTGAGAAGGGCCTACTGTTGCCCTTTTGTTCACTGCTTGCTGGGATTTTGCAAATCCTTTGACGCTTTCTTCCTCCTGTGCTGTGGTCTGTTGTGGTTTGATACTTTTCTACAGTAGCATGTTTGGATTCATTTGTTTGTTTTTAATCTTCTATGCGTTTTTTTCCCTAGTGATCACTCTCACGCTTACATAAAACATCTTTTACCCTTATCAGGCTGCTTTTAGCTGTTAAGAACTTAAATGTGAACACATAAAGTAATTCTACACTTTGACTACAATCCCCCAATTCTGTTTTTAAAATATTTGTGTACCCCAACAAATGACTAGACCTGTAATTTTATCTTAAGCCTGAGATTTGCTTAAATAGTTGATTTACACAGTAAGGGAATGTTTTAAATGTAAGTGTGTACTTGAATCAGTGGGTTTTACAATCTTATATTTTCATGTTTGTAATTAGTACTCATTTCTTTCATGTTTATGAATTGTCCTTAATATTTCTTGCAGAAAAAAGAAACACAGAAATTTCTTCAACTTTTTAATTTATGAGAAACTTTTTCTTATCCCCCTTTGTTTTTGAAGGACAGGATTACCATGTATAGGGTTGGCTGGCAGGTTTGTTTTGGACCTTTAAAATGACATTTGGAACTGGCACAATAGCTGAGTTGGCTAATCCTCCACCTCCAACAACCAGGATTCCGTAAAGGTGCTGGCTTGTGTCCCAGATGCCCCGCTTCCCATCCAGCTCCCTGCTTGTGCCCTGGGAAAGCAGTAGAGGATGGCCCAAAGCCTTGGGACCCTGCACCCACGTGGGAGATTGGAAAGAAGCTCCTGGTCTCAGATTGGCTCACCTCCAGCTGTTGCAGCCATCTGGGGAATGAACCAGCAGATAGAAGATCTTTCTGTCTGTCACTCTTCTCTCTTTAAATCTGCCTTTCCAGTAAAAACAAATACATCTTTATTTTTAAAGGATATTCATTTGTTCTAACATCCTGAAAAAAATATGCTTACAGAATTCTGGTTATTGCCTTCTATACAATCATACCCTTAAATCTGCTGCTTTCAGAAATCTCTGTCTTTAGCTTTTGATAGCTGAATTATAATGTGTTTTGATGTGGCTGTCCAAAGTTATCCTATTTGGTGTCCATTGGGCTTCTGGGATCTGGATTTCTGTTTCATTTTCCAAGCTTGGGAAATTTTGTGCCATCACCTCTTTCACATGTTTTCTGCCATCACCTCTTTAACATGTTTTCTGCCCTCTTCTTTCTGGCA